AGAGAGAGAGAGAGAGAGAGAGAGAGAGAGAGAGAGAGAGAGAGAGAGAGAGAGAGAGAGAGAGAGAGATTAGGGGCAGAGGTTAAACCGGGCCATGAGGGCCAGGATCTGATTCGACACATCGATTGGACTTTTGGCTTGGGCACTGTGGTTTTATGGACATCGCTATCGCGATCTTGGTCTTTTCCCTCAGGGCCTTAGCTCCATCTCCATCTTGCTCCTCCTCCCTCACCCCATCCGTCATATATCCCCATGTGTGTATCCAAGGAGGGACCTTTTCTTTTATCTGTGCAGTTCCTCCTTCTCTTTCACATGTGCGGTGTCTGGTGGGGTCAGTTGCGTCAGTATCTGACAGGTCAGGTCATATCTTTGAGTCTTCCACTGTGCTCTGTGTGTGTGTGTGTGTGTGTGTGTGTGTGTGTGTGTGTGTGTGTGTGTGGTTGTGTGTGTGTGTCGATGTACATCGGTTGTTGATGCTTCGCTGATACCGCATTGTCCATCCGAGTCCTGTCATCACTTCACGTCCGCACGTCGGGCTTCGTATACATCGTTCGATCTAGCATGTATGAGTTGCTATTGGAGCGAAGGGAGTGGAACAGGACATCAGACATAATTATGCGATCGATTGTTTTGGTCGATTGATTGATTGATTGATTGATTGATTGATTGATTGATTGATTGATTGACTAATTGATTGATTGATTGAGTGAGTGATTTATTGATTGATTGATTGATAGCCCGATTGATTGATTGATTGATTGATTGATTGATTGATTGATTGATTGATTGATTGCTAGATTGAATGATGAATTGAGTAACCGATCGAATGATGCGTGGATTGATTAGGAGAACCTATTTCAAATTTTTGTGGGCGATTTCTGCGAAACTGAACAATTTCGAACTTGTTTATTTTTTGGAAAATCGGAATTATTTTTTAGATGTGGAAATCCCGAATCCCACATTATTAGTGCCTGGATACTTGGATTTGTCCTTGTTTCTCGCACCCCCGAAATTTCGGTACTTAGGTAATAAGCAAAAAACTTTTCATTTGTTCGGCACCCTCTCTCAGCAGTTCGTTTTTTGCTGATTACAAATCACAAATCAAACTTTACACTGTTACAGTGCTTTCTATAATTTCAAAAAAATCACTTTTTTTTTTTTTTTTTTTTGCTGAAAATTGCGGAATGACTCCGAACTACGATCCACCACCTATCTACCCTATGTCTGAGCAGCGAGATCACGTCAACAGCTTCCTGAAGTGTGATTTGTCATCCGCCACGTGGCCGTAGCTTCGAGCACCACGTCTGTATCGCTACCCTCACCACCCCGTACCCCTACACATCACTATGCCGAAGAACACCCCATGCGCATCACCCGCCTTCAGCGAAAGCAGCTCGGCTATGGCCGCCCGCTCTAGCTCCACCGCACGAGCCAGGCATTACGCACGACAGCTCGCACGCACGAACTTAGCGCAGCAGCGCTCATGCTTGCACACGCAACTGGCCGAATGCCTTGCTCGCTGCGCACGCGTATGTTTGTGATGACGGTCTCTGGCCACACGAGCGTCGAGCACAGTGTCCAAGGTCGCTCGTACTATCTGTCGCAGCGCAAACCCTACACTACTCATCCTATCTACACCTAACTACGGTGGTCCTCGTCATCGTTTCGTCGCTTTCCCATGAAGAGAGAGAGAGAGAGAGAGAGAGAGAGAGAGAGAGACCGGAAGAACTCACCGCGCAATCACAAAGTGCGAGGACCTTCCTCGTGTGCTGTGGAAGGAACAACGACAGCGGCCACGAGAGAGAGAGAGAGAGAGAGAGAGAGAGAGAGAGAGAGAGAGGCGATGGTGGGATACGCGGTGGGAGGTGATGGAGACCCGCGGAGAACCCTACTGCGGGACGATATGAAACACCCTCGGTGGCGGCCATCCGCGGCCGAATCCGTGGACGCGGCCAGTCCGCGGACCCCGCGGACGTGTCCGCGCAGACGCGCGGCTTGGAAGCTACATGGCGGCCGCGAGGGAGCGACTTTCAAAAAACAGGAGGCGCCACGTGGCGGCACATCCCCGCCCCCACCCCCCCACACAAAAAAAAAAACGAAAAAGATCAACTTTTGGATGGAGGGGTATGGGTGAAATCGTAAGAAATTGAAAAAAAATAAAAA